GGGAATACTGCTCTGGTCCCATGAATGCCTTTCAACATAGAGACTGCATGAAGGCCTTGTAAAGAGGGCTTAGGCAAAGATCTCTGAGAAGAGAGGTGACCTCTATTCACAAGATCCGGGAGGGTCTTTGCAGATGGTAGCCGGCAAGGAAGAGAAAAGCCTTGCAGGGCAGAGATCATAAAACACTTTAGGCTCTGCATAGATTCTCAGAATATGGAGTGATTTTAATTACTCTATGTCATCAATGCTCAGGAGATAAAAGCCACTTGATGCACTGGGTATGGTCAGACCTGGTGGCTCCTAATCCGCTATACTTCTGATACAGCTGCACCCTGATAACAATTGGTGATAAACTCAGAGCACTAGTTTAGCATGTCTTAGAAGGATCTCAAGTGCTCTCCACCATGCCATCTTACCTACCCCTTCACTCTCCCCCTTACACACCCATAAGATCAATGAGATCATGCACACAATAAAAGTGTTTGGAGCCCAGAGCTCGCGACCAACAGGTTCCCATGCTTGCACTGGTCCCCTGGACCCATGCTGTAACTTCTACTCTTGTGTCTCTGTCATTATTTCCTTTTCTCAATCTCTCATCACCGCTGGGACCAAAGGCACCAACTTACCGACCAGCCCCATTTTTTTTTTTCTTTTTTTCTTTTTTAAGATGGAGTCTCCCCAGATGGTGAGAAATAATAAAGTAATCTTTCCCCTCCCAGATAAAGCTGTGGCCTAGTAAGGAGTGGGAGCTCCCATCTCAGCACAGCAGTTAATGAAGAGCCTCTTCTCCCACTGGCTTGCCAACAGAAGCCAAGGAAGAGTAACTGGTAGTAATGAGGTGGTGCTCAGGGACCTGTGGGACTACAATAAAAAGTCTAAATGTCTTGTTATTAGTGTCCCCCAGGAGGGGAGGAGAAAGAGAGCAGGACTGAAAATTATTTGATAAAATGATGGCAAAAAGGCTTCTAAATTTGTGAAAAAACAAAACAAAAACAAAAAAACTCAATAATTCCCAAACTAAAAGCAATAAACACACAAATTCATGATGCTGATCAAACCTCAAAACATAATTTTTTAAGTTTTTTTTTTTTTTCTCAAGAGACAGGGTCTTGCTCTGTTAGCCAGGCTGGAGCACAGTGGCACAATCCAAGCTCACTGCAGCTTCAAACTCCTGTGCTCAAGCAATCCTGCCTCAATCTCCCAAGCAGCTGAGACTACAGGTATGTATCACAATGCCTGTGTAATTTTTATTTTAGTTTTTAGAGGTGGGGTATCTCTATGATGCCTAGGCTGGTCTCAAACTCCTGGCCTCAAGCAATCCTCCCACCTCAACCTCCCAAGTGTCTGGAATTACAGGCATGAGCCTGCTCAAACATGCTAAACCCAAAGAAATTCACATTGAGACAAACTATAGCTGAACTTATAAAAACTAAAGACAAAGGAGAGACAAACACGTCTTACCTATGGGGGAAAACAATTCAAATGATAAAGGATTTTTCATTAAAAAGAAATGTGTCAGAAGAAACCAAACCGGCTGAAACCCTGGTCTCAGGCTTCTAGCCTTCAGAACTGTGACAAAATAAGTTTGCTGTTTAAGCCACCCAGTCAAATGGTATTTTATTATATATAGCAACCCTATAAAACTAGTATAGAGGGCAAATTTTACAACCTAATAAAAAACATCTATAAAAACATACAGGTAACATTTAACTTAACGATGAAAGGTTTAATGCTTTTCCCCTAAAATTGGGACCAAGGCAAGAAGATCTGCTGTCACCACTCTTATTCAACATAGTCTTGGAAGTTCTAGTCAGGGCAATAAGGCAAAAAGGTACTAAAAAGTACATATATCAGGAAGCAGGATATAAACCATTTCTATTTGCACCAAATCTTAAAAACAAATCTACAGGGCTGGGCACAGTGGCTCACACCTGTAATCCCAGCACTTTGGGAGACTGAGGCGGGCAGATCACGAGGTCAGAAGTTCAAGACCATCCTGGCCAACATGGTGAAACCCCATTTCTATTAAAAATACAAACACTAACCAGCCATGGTGTGGGCACCTGTAATGCCAGCTACTTGGGAGGCTAAGGCAGGAGAATCACTTGAACCCTGGAGGCAGAGGTTGCAGGGAGCTGAGATCATGTCACTGCACTCTATCCAGGGCAACAGTGAGACCCTGTCTCAAAAAAACAAGAACCCCCCCCCCCCCGAAAAAAAAATCTACCAAAAAAGCTCTCTTAGAACTGACTTCAACAAGGTGGCAGAATAAAAGATAGTCAGGGTGGGGTATGGTGGCTCATGCCTGTAATCCTAGCACCTTGGGAGGCCCAGGTGGGTGGATTATCTGAGGTTAGCAGGTCAGGACCAGCCTGGCCAACATGGGGAAACCCTGTCTCTACTAAAAAATACAAAAATTAGCCAAGTATGGTGGTGGGTGCCTGTTGTCCCAGCTACTTGGGAGGCTGAGGCAGGAGAATTGCTTGAACCCGGGAGGTGGAGGTTGCAGTGAGCTGAGATTGTACCACTGCACTCCAGCCTGGGTGACAGAGCAAGACTTCATCTCAAAAACAAAAACAAAACAAAACAAAAAGATAATCAATTGTATATCTGTATAATAGCAATGAACATGTAGACAATAAAATTTAAAATATATCACAATTGCTTAAAAAAATTAAAAACTACAAATTAAAGATCTAAATCAAGATACATACTGTGTTCATGGATTGGAAGACTCAATATTGTAAAGATGTCAACTCCTCTTTGCAAATTGATATGCATATTTAATATAATTCCTAAAATCTCAACAAGATTTTAAATTTAGACAATATTATTCTAAACTTTATATGGAAAGGCAAAGGAACCTGAAAAACTAGCAATTTTGAAAAAGAAGAATGAAGTTGGAGGAATCAGTCTGTATGATTTGAAGACTTATTTTACGGCCACAGTAATCAAGACTTTGAGGTATTGGTGGAGGGGGAGACACCTCAATCAATGGAACATAACTGAGATCCCTAAAACAGACCCACACAAATATATCCAAATAATTTTTGTCAAAAGTGCAAAGCAATTCAATGGAGAAAGGACAGTCTTTTAAACTAATAGGTCTTAGAACTGTTGGACATCCACATGTAAAAAATAGAACCTAACCCTATGCCTCACACCTTATACAAAATAAACCGAAAATAAACCACAGACTTCAATGTAAAATCAAAACTATACAATCTTTTAGAATCAAAACTATACAATCTTTTAGAAAAAAACATAGGAATAAATCCTTGGGATCTATAGGAAGATATAGAGTTCTTAGACTTGACACCAAAAACACAATCCATACAAGGAAAATTGATAAATTTGACCTCATTGAAATTAAAAAGGCTTGCTCATTGAAAGAGAGGATGAACAGTTATAGATTTGGAGAAAATATTCACAAACCACATATTAAATAAAGAATTAGAATCTCACAACTCAACTGTAAAAACAATAGAAACTATCCTTATTATCTCTTATAAAAAAGGAGAAACCAGGTAAAGACATGAGCAAAAATTTTTACCAGGGAGGACACATATGTATATAGCAGATAAGCACATGAAGGTATGTTCAACATCATTAGCCATTAGGAAAATGCAAATTTTAAAAAACTTTTTATTAGTACATACTATCAGAATAACATAAAAAACAGTGACACCATCGAATTCTGGTGAGGATGCAGAGAAAGTGGATCACACATATATTGCTAGTAGGAATGTAAAAATGGTAGAGCTACTCTGGAAAACAATTCAGCAGTTGTGAGAAAAACTAAAGATAAATTACTACAAATTCTACCAATTTCATTCTGGGCATTTATTCCAGAGAAGTGAAAACTTGTGTTCACATAAAAACCTGCAGTACTTACAACTGTTCATAGCAGCTTTATTCAGGATTGCCCAAAACTGGAAACAATCCAGATGTTACTCAAGAGATGAATGGTTAAACTGTGGTACATCTATACCATGGAATACTACTCAGCAATAGAAAGGACTGAATTATTGACACATTCAACAACTTGGATTACACCAGAGAATTATGCTGAGTTCAAATTGCCAATCTCAATGTTATATATTATATGATTCCATTTGAATAACATTCTTGAAATGACAAAATCAGAAATACAGAACAGATTAAATGATCACCAGGGGTTAAGGACAGGGAATGAAGAGTGAGGTGGGGCAGGAGGAAAATAGGTGTGGTTATAAAAGGGCAACACAGTCATCCTTCTGATGATGGAAATGTTTGTATCTTGACTGTATTAATATCAAGTACTGGTTGTGATATTGTACTATAGTTGTGTAAGATGTTACAGATGGAGGAGGTTGGTAAAGGATACATGGGATCTATTTTTTTTTTTTAACAAATGCATGCATTTCTACAATTATCTAGAAGCTAAAAGTTTAATTAAAAAAAAAAGAACAAACTCACAAATCATACTACTTATTTATTGAACACCTATTGTATGGCAAGACCATATATAAGGTAATCTAATGAATGTTATTTAATTTTCATGAACTCCTAAAGATTATGCCCATTTCCCAAATAATCTTTCATGAAATACTAATTTTTTATAAAATTAAGTGCCTTCCTGGAGAGGTGTTATGTAAAAGGAATTCCCCAGTCAAGCAGGTTTAAGAAAGACGAAAACAACTTTTTTTTAACTGTAGGATTTTTAAGGTCTCCAATATCTAATGAACTTTATAAATATTCAAAGTGAGACCATTACAGACAGCTTTCTTTAATTTTCCCACGTCTTTAATTTTGGAACCCTAGTTTTCACATGATGCTCATTAACAATTTGTCTGAAGACCCAGTATTCCTTATAATATAACAATAAATGTTGGGTTATAGTTTTCTACCAACATCTCTACTGAAGTGAGCTTTTATGCGTTATTTCAATTTAGTCTATAGATTTACTGGTATAGTCTGAATATACTTCAATTATAGTGCAGATGATCCAAACTACTTACCATGTAACAATATAAATAGATCGAAGTACTAATGTAAAGACCAACATTCCATACATGACCTAAATAGGAAAGGAAAATGTTGTTAGTACATTCGTTATTCTTTGGCAAAGGAAGTCTATTTTTCCTACCAAAATAGCCTTTCCAATTAAATTTAAATATGTATCCTTCATTACATTTTAAAGAATACAATTTTAAAAATGTGTTAAATCACTAAGTCATGCTAACTTCTGAGGAAAAGAGCCTGCTTAATTTCATTAAATAACCAATTAAATAACCAATATCAGAAGTCCTATATCAATTTTAGGACTTGAATGGATCCATGAAATTTTAAATATCTGCTGAAACCTGAACAAATGCTGTAATTTTGCTTCATATTCCCAAGCTCCCCCCACTTCTCTTTAGCTTTGCTTTCAGCACAAATATTGTATTTTACAATAGCATAAACCTGAATTCGTCTAACTCTGCATTCATATGCATCCTCCCCTGGCATTCTTTCTCATCTCTAGTCTCTGAAAAAAAGAGGTGCCCACTTCTTGACCAAGGTTAATCTATTTTCCTGTGTTCTTTTTTCTATATGTTCCCACATCTTCCTAGCATTGGCTCTTCCTTCTCTTCTGTATTAAGCATTAGGTGAATATTAGTACCTGGAAAATGGAACCTAGTGGGAAAATGTGATATATATTAAATTTATAGCAAATACATATAAAGCCAGTAGTTGAGAAAGCACCATCCCGGTCAAGAAATAAATCCTTGTTAACACCCTAGAAGTGCTGCATGTGTCTTCCCAGTCCAACCCTCTCCCTTCCTTCTCAGAGGAAACCACTCTTCTGATTTGTATAATAAACATTTTGCTTTTATTTATATAATTACTAACTTAAAGTAGTCAGCTACATATGCATTCCTAAGTAATAATACTGTTTGCTTTTGAGTTATAACAGAATTTTGATTAAAATTTATTTTATATATATTTTTTGTGGCAGGGTCTTTTGTCGCCTAGGCTGGAGTGCAGTGGCATGATCATATCTCACTGCAGCCTTGATCTCCCAGGCTCAAGCCATCCTCTTGCCTCAGCCTCCAAAGTAGCTGGGACTACAGGTGTGTGCAACCACATCCTGGTTAATTTTTTTTCTTTTTAGTATAGACAGGTCTCACTGTGTTGCCCAGGCTGGTCTCAACCTTATGTGGATGAGAGTACAAAAGAAGCTGTGTATATGAATAGCTCTGGCTCTTCTGATGAGATGAAGATACTACATCTGCTATAATTCTCATCCCATGTCCTTCTATAAAACTAAGGAAATACAGTATTAGATTAAAGCTTATTAGAGTCTCATTGCCAGCTTAAATCCATAAACACAGCTATACTGCTAAAAATGGTGAAGAAGAAAGGCATAATCCCCATACTCACAGCAATTACAATCTAGGAAGGAGAGAGATAAGTAACCAAACAATTATAGTATTATAACTCTATGGCAGCAACTGTACAGAGTACTTTGTAAACACATAGAAAGGCCACCTAATCCAGACTTACACAGTTTAGAAAGTCTTTCTGGAGGATATGGTATTTAAAATTTTATACCTGAAGCTCATGTAGCAGTTAGTTACTTTAAAATAAAGTGGAAGAGAGTTGTTGGCATAGCTTATATTCTAGAGACAAGAAGGAAAAAAAAAGATCCTTATAGTATATTGCTGGAATATAGAATAGGAAAAATGGAGTCAGAGGCCAGAGGTCAAATCTGGCCTTTCAAGTCATGTTAAGGAGCTGGACTTTATATATAAGTAACGAAGGCCAGGTGTGGTAGCTTACACCTGTAATCCCAGCACTTTGGGAGGCCGAGGCCAGTTGGAGAACAGCCTGGCCAACATGGTGAAACCCCATCTCTACTAAAATGCAAAAATGAGTCAGGTGTGGTGGCAATGAGCCAAGATTGCATCACTACGCTCCAGCCTGCGGGACAGAGCAAGACTCTGTCTCAAAAAAAAAAAAAAAAGACTGGGTGCGGTGGCTCATGCCTGTAATCCCAACACTTTAGGAGGCTGAGGCAGGTGTATCACCTGAGGTCAGGAGTTTGAGACCAGCTGGGGTGCCAACAGAGTGAAACCCCACCTTTACTAAAAAATGCAAAAAATTAGCTGAGTGTGGTGGTGGGCACCTGTAATCCCAGCTACTCGGGAGGGCGAGGCAGGAGAATCACTTGAACCTGAGAGGTGGAGGTTGCAGTGAGCTGAGATTGTGCCATTGCACTCCAGCCTTGGCAACAAGAAAAAAAAAAAAAGAAAAGAAAAGAACGGAAAGCCAATGAAGGTTTCACCAATAGATAACATGGTCAGACTCATGTATTAGAAAGATGTCCCTGTCATGCTGAGTGGAGAATGAGAGGGAGGTGAGACTGACAGGAAATAAACCAATGATAATGTGTTGCAGTCATCTAAGTGAGAGATGGGGACCTGAACTTGGGTAATATCAGGGGAGATGCAGAGAAGTGGCTAGATTAGAGAGAGATTTAGGGTTCAGACTAATCATTAATTCAAATAAGAGAAAGAGGGGAAAGACAAGGATGATGGCCTAGTTTATGGCATGGACAGTTAGGTACATGGCAAAATTAATTATTGAATTAGAGAATATATGAAAAGAAAGGGAGAAAAATGGTGAGTTCACTTCTGCATATATGTTCAGAGTTTGATGTGCCAGTGAGATATCTAAGTAGAGATCTCTAGCAGAAGTTGGATACCTAGGTCTATAATTTAAAAGAAAAATCAGAGCTGAAGAAATAGAACTGTCAGCATATAGGAGTCAATGGGAAGGAATTTCTCAGGAAATATGTTTGTTAAACATATGAAATGATGGATTAGGAAAGAATCTATGCCTTGGCAATATCATGGGACTTTCTCAAACTAACTTTCTTCACTTCAGAGCACCCCTACCCCATCCTTTTGATGCTCCCCACTGCTAGTGGTCTACCCAGTATTCATTCTCTCCTTCTGACTATATAGAAACTGATTTATTTGGCTGGAAGCATGTTCAACTATATAAACTTGATTTCTCAACATATAGAGGTTTCCTTTTTTTTTTTCAATAAAAAAGATGATAAAAGATACTTTTCTGCTCCTTATAATCTTCATCTAATAATATGTATATTTTTATAGTGAAATTTTATCTTTCTATATTTAATCGTTTTTTCAGTCTCCAAACTCTAAAGACTATAAAAATATTATTACTGATTTCTCTGCTAAAGCAACTAATAAAAGTTAAATCAGGATAACAACACAGAGAAAGATGGCCTGTAATTTTAGACACAGTTGTTAGGTAAGGCCTCTCTGCTAAGTTAACATTTAAGCAGAGACGTGAATGAAGTGAGGATATAAATCATGTAGATAGCTGGGCACTAGTATCCTAGGCAGTGGAACAGTATGAATGCAAAAGTCCTAAAGTGGAAACATGCTTGTTGTGTTTGAAATATAAAGCAAGACTCAGTATGACTAGGGAGAATGAGGGAGAGGCAAGTGGAAGGATATCCACCTACCCTCACATGGTTTTTCTTTCTTTTTTTTTTTTATTGCATTTTAGGTTTTGGGGTACATGTGCAGAGCATGCAATACAGTTGCATAGGTACACACATGGCAGTGTGTTTTGTTTGCTTTCTCCCCTTCACCCACATTTGGCATTTCTCCCCAGGCTATCCCTCCCCACTGCCCCCTCCCACTGGCCGTCCCCTTTTCCCCCCAATAGACCCCAGTGTTTAGTACTCCCCTCCCTGTGTCCATGTGTTCTCATTTTTCATCACCCGCCTATGAGTGAGAATATGCGGTGCTTCATTTTCTGTTCTTGTGTCAGTTTGCTGGGAATGATGTTCTCCAGATTCATCCATGTCCCTCCTACAAACGACACGAACTCATCATTTCTGATTGCTGCATAATATTCCATGGTGTATATGTGCCACATTTTCCCAATCCAGTCTATCATCAATGGGCATTTGGGCTGATTCCAGGTCTTTGCTATTGTAAACAGTGCTGCAATGAACATTCGTGTGCATGTGTCCTTATAGTAGAACGATTTATAGTCCTTTGGATATATACCCAGTAATGGGATTGCTGGGTCAAATGGAATTTCTATTTCTAAGGCCTTGAGGAATCACCACACTGTCTTCCACAATGGTTGAACTAATTTACACTCCCACCAACAGTGTAAAAGTGTTCCTTTTTCTCCACATCCTCTCCAGCATCTGTTGTCTCCAGATTTTTTAATGATCGCCATTCTAACTGGTGTGAGATGGTATCTCAATGTGGTTTTGATTTGCATCTCTCTGATGACCAGTGACGATGAGCATTTTTTCATATGATTGTTGGCCTCATATATGTCTTCTTTCGTAAAGTGTCTGTTCATATCCTTTGTCCAATTTTGAATGGGCTTGTTTTGTTTTTTTCCTGTAAATCTGTTTGAGTTCTTTGTAAATTCTGGATATCAGCCCTTTGTCAGATGGGTAAACTGCAAACACTTTTTCCCATTCTGTTGGTTGCCGATTCACACTAGAGACTGTTTCTTTTGCTGTGCAGAAGCTGTGGAGTTTCATCAGGTCCCATTTGTCTATTTTGGCTTTTGTTGCCAATGCTTTTGGTGTTTTGTTCATGAAGTCCTTGCCTACTCCTATGTCCTGGATGGTTTTGCCTAGATTTCCTTCTAGGGTTTTTATGGTGCCAGGTCTTATGTTTAAGTCTTTAATCCATCTGGAGTTAATTTTGGTGTAAGGTGTCAGGAAGGGGTCCAGTTTCTGCTTTCTGCACATGGCTAGCCAGTTTTCCCAGAACCATTTGTTGAACAGGGAATCCTTTCCCCATTGCTTGTTTTTGTCGGGTTTATCAAAGATTGTATGGTTGTAGCTAAGTTGTGTTGCCTCTGATGCCTCTGTTCTGTTCCATTGGTCTATATCTCTGTTTTGGTACCAGTACCATGCTGTTTTGATTACTGTAGCCCTGTAGTATAGTTTGAAATCCGGTAGTGTGATGCCCCCCGCTGTGTTTTTTTTGCTTAGAATTGACTTGGCTATGCGGGCTCTCTTTTGTT